TGGTACCCCTTATGAGCCACTGTATTTATTTCGCGCATTTAAAAGCATTCTTCTGAGAAGGGGACCATGAGGCCAAAGAAATTCGTGACATAAAGAATACTTCAGGAGCCCTGCTTTAGGGACGACCATTTCTGAAGACAGTATCAGCCTCACTCGCCCCCCAGGTTAGTGATTCCCAAACCCAGGCAAAAAGAGTCATTTGAGGGATTTATTATCCTGAGTGAGGCCTGAGAATCATTTTGCTTAATAAGAACCTCAGGTGATTTGGGAAATGCTGCCTTATAACCAGTAATTTTGGGAAATGCTACCCTAGGATGTGCCTGTTGAAAATCAATAGACAACTTCCCTATCAGAAGACAGTTTCTGGGTACTCTCACCTTCTGTATCACCAAAGGGAGTTAGTTAAATTCATTAGCAAATGAGAGTAACACCACCTGGTTGCTGTATAATTTTGAAGTGAGTTCTATACATTGGAATGTAGGAGAAAGAATCATGTCTCTAAAGGACCTTAAATCAATCAGATTTTTAACTTGTATGTGCTTTAATTCCAAAAATCACTTCGTCATTCAGAATCTCCCAACATTTTGTATCTATCTCACCATCAGCACTTATCACATTGCATCTTAGTTCTTTTCCATTTACCTATCTTAGGGCCTTCAATTCATGCATGCCCATTCATACATTACTCCCTCTAACAGGCACACACTATATTCTAAGGCCCTGGGGACAAAAACAGGCTTAATTCGGTTCAACACATCCCCCAAAGTAAACCATCAGGCACATAATGGGCACTCAGTAAACCGCGGATACTGTAGGTAATGGGTGAACAAATGCCAACTCTTCTACCTCCTTTCCTATTAGAATGGAGACAAGTCGGGCTCAGTGGCTCAGCCTGTAATCCGGCGCCTTTGGGAGGCTGAGGTGAGTGGATTGCCTGAGCCCGTGGGTTCGAGACCCGCCTGAGCAGGCGAGACCTCATCTCTACAATAAATCAAAAAATCAGCCAGGCTTGGTAGCGCGTGCCTGTAATTCCGGCTACTCGTAAAGCTGAGGCGGAAGGATCACCGGAGCCCAGCAGGTCGAGGCTGCGGTGGCCGGGAGCGGCCACTGCACTCCAGTCTGGGTGACAGAGACTCCAACTCAAAAAAAAAAAAAAAAAATGGAGTCAAATGGTATCCTTCTCAGAAGTGGCCAACATTCTGACCTTTGAGAGTCAGCAAGAGTCATGATTAGTGTGAAGAGGTTGAAATTCTAGCTCCTTTTACAAGCTATGCATCCCTAGGCAAATTACTCAACATCTCCAGGTCTCTATTTCTTTATCTATAAATTCGAAATTATGTTTACCTCATTGGGTTGCTACGAGTTGATGTGTGAGTGTTACTAGCATGTTCCTGGCACTCACTTTGATGCTGTTTATCGATCCTTACTGTTAGTTTCTCAGTGTCTCAGCATGGAAGACTCCAGTAAAAAAAAAAAAAAATCCCATTACAAGTTCCACCAATTAGAGACTCATTTTAATGAGTAAGCTCCAGGGAATACTAAGTGATGGCACCTTAGTGGGAATTATTTTAATCAGCTAATCAGATTGTTTTCTTCTTGACTCTTAGCTGAGATCAAGGAGAGAATGGGAATTTTGAAGGCAGAATCTGGAGACAGGAACCGAGGACAGCCAGAATGGGTGGTACTCCAGTGGGGGCCTGGAAGCAGGAAGGCAACTCAAGGACTTTGGCCTTTGGGGACTAAGCAAGGAGGTGAGGGGGATTAAAGAAACCTGTCAGGTGTGTTCTTTTCACCTAGCCCCAAAGTCACCATTGTCTCTTGCACTGATTTTTGTAACCCTGGGACAAAGGCAATCAGGAGGTGTCTCATTCCCTAGAAAGGACTTGATGTATAGTCTGTCATACACAAATCCCCGAGGAGCACCTGGTTTCCTCTCCTTTTTCTTGTGTCTACCCACTTTCATCTCTTTTCCAACAACCAGCCCCCGTGCTTGACACTTCGCTTTAGCAGGGTGTGTGACAACCTACATTCCAGTGCCCAGTCTGCCTATACAAGCTCTGTGACCTTTTGATGAGGTGCCTATTGTCTTCAAGCTTTTAGGTTCTTTCTCTGCTATGAAGCTAATAGTCCTCTGTCATAGGATTATAATCTGCAATAGAGCTCATGTATGAAAAGTGCTTTGCAGGACACGAGGCACTTAGTAAGCATTCTATAAATGTTAGCTATTATCATGACAGTTTATGACCAAAACCATTCATTATTTCAAAATATATTTTCATGCCTGGGCCCTGCTCTGGGAGCTGGGTTGCCACAGCAAACAAGTAAACACTCCTGCTTCTGGTGGTGTCAGTTAAGGAACAGTTATTTAATCTCCTATCAAGTATGTAATTTGTTCTCAAATGACTCTAAGAGCACAGACAGTAGAACCAAATTCAGATTTCAAAATCCGAAATTTCAAAGATAGAAATTTCTGTAATAGGTCACATGGATTGGTAGATGCATGTAGAGTAAATTCTCAATAAATGTTAGTTTGTATTAACAATATTAGGATCTCATGATGACCTCTAGTTATTTTAAGTATGAATGTCTTGCTTCTCCAGTTGTCTTGCAAGTTGTTCAAGGATAGGCCCTGTAGTACATTTTGTAAAACCTCTCAACACACAACATACTCTCCCTCTACAAACCAAGTACTAGGAACCTCACAAATGCTTACTCTATAAGTGCATGAGTGAATGAATGAACACCCAGCAGCACTGACATATGCTGTTGTCCTAACTATCCTCTTTTACCTACACTGGCCCAAACACACATATACATACATTTACCCACAATTAGGCAAAAAGTGGTTTTTCCCCATTTAATACATAAATTGCTAACAGACATAATGTGGAAATAGAAGTTAGTAAACAAAAGTCAACTTTTGCAAGAAGCTTTTACAGCATGCAACTGTCCTACATAATGAGCAAAACCATCTTTTATTCTCCTGGCTTTCTTAAATCACTGTGCTATTATGACTCTTTAGGTCAGAATTCTTACATCTCCCTTTTAAAATTTTTTTCATTCTCAGAACTCCTATAAATTCATATTAGATCTTTACTTATGTAGAGCTAAATGGCCCAACTAAAAGAGAAAAAGTAAGTCTACAACCAAATGAACAAAAATGATGACTTCAGCTGGGCTCAGTGGCTCAGCCTGCAATCCCAGCACTTTGGGAAGCCGAGGCAAGTGGATTGCCTGAGCCTGCAGGTTTGAGACCAGCCTGGACAATTTGGTGAGACCTCAGCTCTACAATTCTAAATAAAAAATTAGCTGGGCACGGTAGTGCACACCTACTGTTCCGGCTACTTGGAAGGTTGTGGTGGAAGGCTTGCCGGAGTCCAGTAGGTTGATGCTGGGGTAGCTGTGAGTGAGCCACTGCACTCCAGCCTGGGTGACAGAGTAAGACTCCAACTCAAAAAAAAAGATGACTTCATCACAAGTTTTAACTTTTCATTGCTGCTTTTAAACAAACAAACAAACAAAAACTCATTGGTCGGGGTTTCTCAAAATAGAGTCTGGAGATGACCAAATGTAGGATAAAATGGGATGCAGAAAAAGAAATAAATCCAAGAGGAAGAAGTTATTAGGGAAGGGGAAGGATAGATACCCTATTAGAACCTTACCTTATTGGAATAAAGCAGTAATGAACACTAAAGTGACATGGTCATATAAGAAGATTCTTGCAGGAGAAAGCCCCAGCAGAGGAACAGCACTATCATTATGTACAAGCATTTGGTCAAAATCTGTGTTTTTCTCAAAAAGCTTCTTCAAAGTCCAATGTACCGATTTGTCACTCTTCCTGCCTCTAAAATAGCCATTGGGCCTGCTCAGGAGGGAATATCAGGAACACTCAGCTACAGCCAGGGGCACAAAGTGTCACAATTTCTCCTTGAAAACTGGTATCTAAGAATGGCAGCCCCCCAGGCAGGAAGCTGGCAAGTACACAAAAGCCTTGAGGGCCTATGAGTGGCCCTTTTGTGGACATTTTGAAAGTGACAATCTCTCTGACATATCTTCCCAGTTCAATCAGGTTATGTAAAAGTTTAAAAAATAAAACAGAAATGTGCTGAAATATGAATTAAATAGCCAAATTCCTGACTTCTTATAGGTGTTACTCAGAGGAGATTATGGAGCTTGAAACACATGTGTAGATGCACGTGGGCGAAACCACCCTCAATAATTCTGTGAGCTCCTTCCCCCACCTCTTGGGGATTAGAACATGGGAAAGGGTACTGAAGGCAGTCACACTGCCACAGACTTATTTTATATAGGTTCCCATATACGTAGTTTCAGCACATTTCCAAGCTTTAAAACCTGACACCAGATAGATTTGTACTTTGGAGATAGGTTTTATGAAAAACGGGTTCTTAGCTTATTTCCTGAGAACATGGTGAGCTCTCTACTGGGTGGGGAGCTTCAGGGAGGCCATTTTTGCATAATGCATGCATTGGCCAGTCACCCAAGTTCTTTTACCTACAGCTGCACACCTATGAACATGTCACTTAGCCACACGGAGCATTAGTTGCCTCCCAAGTTTGAACTTGATCAGTGATTCTTAAGCCTTGGTATATCTGAGGGTGTTCATTTAAAAATGGAGATTTGTGAGCTACAGAGTCAGAGACTGACTTAATGGGTCGAGGAAGGATTCAGAAATCTACATCTTTACAGAGCTCACCACTGTGGACCACACTTTGAGAAACACAGGTCTATTTGATTTGGAAGATCCCTTCTGCATGAACATGCTAGCATTCTGTGAATTTGTCCTTTTTTAAGCAACCAATCTTAAACAGCCTGGACTCCCGGATGTCTGCATGCCCTTCAGGAGCAATGGTACCAACCACAGGCACAGGGAGCAGGCGTGTCCACGTCTATGCTGGGCAACATAGGAAAGGCAATAGAGGTGATTGGGTTGTCATTTCTTCACTGGGGGAAACACTAACATCCTTGTCTCTGATGCCCAGGTGACAGGCGGAGTCTGGAATTTCAGCCGTGTTTGCTGTGATGTTTTTGTCACCCTGGATGTCATGATGTGTACAGCCAGCATCCTGAACCTCTGTGCCATCAGCATAGACAGGTAGGACTATACAATTCCCTTCCAGGCATAGGGAACAGATGGCCTAAAAGATAAGGGGTGAAGGGAGAGATAGGCTTTGTGTTTGAGGACACTGGTGTCACTTCCAAGTAGGACTTGACACTGGGGACATTTTCTTTCCTCTTTTTTTCTTTTAAACTATAGTTTGCAGATGAGAAGAAACCCCAGTGACAAAAGAGAAATAATCATCCTATAAACTTTCCAGGCCTTTCTTCTCATATAGTCCCTGAAGGGGATTCCGGTTTTGCTTTTCCACTGTTCTTTGGGACTTTTGTGATTCCTAATAGGAAGGGAAAAGTGGGGTTCGGGGAAGACAAAGGTGAGCTGACTTGGGTTAATGGAAAATTCTGCTGTTTGTGGCTTTTTGTGGAAGAAAGGGATGGAAGGAAAGTGGTAGAGAGAGAGGCAAGTCTGGTGTATTTTTGAGGAGGCAGAGAGGAGAGAGGTGGGGGAGAAAGACAGTTTTAGAAAGCACAGCTGTGATCTATTTATTTCCCTCATAGATTTTAAGAGAAGCAGGTAAAGAATGATATGGGTTTTTTTTAATTGCCTTTTGGTTGCTGGAATGGATTTGTGTGATTTTGACTCCACTCTGTGTGTTCTGCCTGAGTAACATCACCTCCCATCCCTAAGAATGCCTGAATTCGCTACCCTTGCTTGGGTCCCCTGTTCCTCACTTTCCCTCTCCTTTTGTCTTCCTCTTTTCTTTTCCCTTTTTTCTGCCTGAGCTTTGGATTTGCCATGGTTCCCATAGGACACCAGCAGGTCCACTGAGATCCCTGGGGAAAGAAGGTCACTTTTAAGCCTATGACCTCTAGTGCCTCCAACCTTTCCTTGTCTGAGTTCTCCCTCTCCCTGTTTTCCTCCACCTCTTCTCTTTCTCCCAGTAATATCATCCATCCACTCCATGTTCCTACAGGTGATCCCAAATAAGACCCACTATGTATTGAGAATTTATCACGCTGTACTAAGCTGTGACACACATTGACTCATTTCATTTCATTTCATTTCAACAACTCTTAGGAACTATTATCTTCATTTCCAGCTTCTTAAGGTAATTAAGGAATTTGCCAAAGTCACACAACTCGTACGGGGCTGTGCCAGGATCTGAATTTTGTCATTTTGCTCCAAGTTAATAATCTTAAACTCTGTGCTAACCTCCCCCAAATCTCCAGCTATAACCCACCTTCCCCTCTGAGTTCCAGATCACATCGCTTCCTGGATATCCCATTGGTTCTTATAATGTAAAAATGTTAAAAACCAGACTTCATTAAAGCAGCAAACCATCCTGACTCAATGATCTCTTACTGACATCTTTCTTCTGTAATCTTGGGTTTTGCTTGACTCCTCTCTCTTTCTAATCCAACAAGTCAATGTTTATGAGTGCTAAATCGCAATTTTTTGAGATTTGCCCCTACTTTTTCTTCCTTGCTGCCCCCTACTTACTTTAAGCTCCTGTGATCTCTTGCCTAAAAGTCTGCCACTGCTTTCTAGCAGCTTCTTCCTACTACCATCCGAACTATCCCCACAGAAGTAAAGTACTACTCAAAACTCTTCAGTGTCTTCTTGTTCTGTGGAAGGAAAGCTAGAATCACCCCTGACTGCCTGGCATTAAGTGTTTTCTTTTCTTTTTTTTTCTGAGTTGGAGTCTCACTCTGTCGCCCAGACTGGAGTGCAGTGGCCACTCCCGGCCACCGCAGCCTCGGCCTGCTGTGTTCTGGCGATCCTTCCACCTCAGCCTTCCAAGTAGCTGGAACTACAGGTGCGCACTACTACGCCCAGCTAATTTTTTATTTATTGTAGAGATGAGGTCTCGCCAAGTTGCCCGGGCGGGTCTCGAACCCGCGGGCTCAGGTGTTTTCTACAATATGGCCTCAACTCCCCTTATCAATCTCATCTCTTCCTGGGTTGCCCTATATCCTTGTCATGCTCCAAGGTCTATCACAATGACCCCTTTTCCATAAAGCCTTTCCAATATCTCTACAATTGTATTCAGTCACACTTAAACCCTCACAATGACTTCTCTATAACTATGTTGTAGCATCTCCAGCCTGTCTTTTCTAGAAAACCTAGAGCAGGTCTGCTTTACATGACCCAGTGTTGTGCTCTCTGTAGCAACCAGCATCACACTTCTTTTTATGTACCAAAATTGGAATTTCAAATAATAACCAAAGAACAAACATGAAAACACTTCCCTATGGTGATACTGCAAACCAACCAGCCAACTGGATGTTTTTTTATTTATATCACTTTGTTGGCTATCCAACTGAGAGGAAAATGAAAGAACATGTTCATAATGCTAGATATAATACCACTAAAGAATATGTTTAAAAATAGAGGGGCCAGGCGTGGTAGTATAAGCCTGTAGTCCTAGCTACTCAGGAGGCTATGGTGGGAGGCCACTTGAGCCCAGGAGGCCAGCTTGGACAGCACAATGAGACCTTGCCTCTGAAAAAATATAACAGAGGATATGGTGGCATAATTCTGTAAATATATCCAAAACCCCCCCACACTGAATTGTACACTTCAAATGGATGAATTATGTGGTGTGCAAATTATATTAATATTTCAATAAAGCTGTTTTTTTTGAAAAAGTGAACTGATAGGAATTTTACAATATTTTTAGCTCTAACATCTAAATCTTTTGTGTAATTTCTGGACATTTAGTACATGTTTCCAGGATTCATTTACAGAGTAGTGGATGGCAGCTCGTTTGCTTTATCATCACCTCCATCAGCCCAATCTCTTATACTAGACCTAACTCCATATCACCTGTGACTCCCTGCTATGCCTATTATAGAGCCTTGGACAGAGACTACTAAAATCAAGTCAGGGATCCCTGCCTGAGGGTAGCCTATGCTCATACCACAAATAGCACTTTCAGAAAGGACAGGAGAGAATGGAGAAGGCTAGCCTTGGGAGAAGGGAGAAGAGCTGTATACAGAGTCCCCTCTCAGTCTTCTTAGCTCTAGACCTTCCTTTCTACCCTCTTGAGGTTATGCCTGTACACTCATTCACACACAGGGGGCTGTTGTCACAGCCTGACCAGTTCTTATGCCCATTGTACAGAAAAGAGTCAATGTACTGATACAGCAGTGTTGCAATAGAAAAAGAGTCTAATAATTGCAAAGCAGCTGAGAGAGGAGGACAGGAGATATTTCTCAAATCTGCTTCCACAAGAATTTGAAGATGGGGTTTTTTAAGGAATAATTTGGCAGACGAGGGCTAGGGAATAGGTACTGCTGAATGGTTGGGGCAAAAGTCATGGGGCTGTCGAAACTATCCTCATGAGCAGAGTCAGTTTCTGGGTTGGGGCGTCACAGGGCAGATTTGAGTTAGCTCTTTGGAATGGATCACAGGTCTGGGTGGGGTCAGGGGTCTGCCAGAATGCACAGTCTAAAAAATATCTCAAAAACCGGTCTTAAGCTTATGTTATCTATAGGAGCAATTGGGAGAGTTAAAAATCTTGTCAACGGCCTGGCTTGGTGGCTCAGCCTCTAATCCCAGCACTTTGGGAGGCCAAGGTAAGTGGATTGCTGGAGCCTGTGGGTTTGAGACCAGCCCAGGCAACTTGGTGAAACCTTATCTCTAAAATAAATCAAAAATTAGCTGGGCATGGTAGCACATACCTGTAGTTCCCGCTACTTGGAAGGCTGAGGTGGAAGGATCACAGGAGCCCAGCAAGATGATGCTGGGGTGGCCATGAGCGTGCCACTGCATGGAGTGAGACTCCAACTCAAAAAAAAAAAAAAATTCTTGTGAATAGTGGTTATTTAACTTCGGAAGATAAGTGGGAGAGTCATCAAAGCTGCTCACACCTTTCAGCCTTCAAACTTCTAGATGTCATCAAGAAGGTCTGTGTGACCTAAGGGCTCGTTGTTCTTGAAGAAAAAATAAGCTCATCAACCTTTCAGGTAGCTCCAAGGGGTCAGGATATAACAGAATTCAGGCCCCATCACAATTGTAACCTTGTGGCCTCTTATTAATTTTACAAAGGTGGTTTCATTGTGGGTGAGAGTGAACAGGTTGTTCCATAAAGGGTGTGGGAACCAAATTCAGCCAGCAATTTTCCTTGGCAAGACTTGGCCAGAAGAGGATGGCTTTTTGTAATTTGCCAGTCAGAAGAAGGTGCCTTTCTCTAATTTACACGACAGCAACATTTTGCTAGCAGCAGCCATGCCTAACACACACTTCTAGTTTTACCATGTTAAACATAACCATCAAGAATAATCTTGAACTGGCATCTGTCCCGTATAGGAAAACGCCCATGAATGCACAGCACTCACCCACCAGCTACACCTTAGATCCCAACGGAGAAGGAAGCTCCCCTCTTGGCTTGTATTTCCATATGGACCAATCAATCCTCACCAAACTTCCAGATGGAGCCCCCTCCTATTCTAGAAGGGAAAATAGGCCTTGGAAAAGCTGTCCCCATTATTCTTCACAGCAGTTTGCAGAACAGCATTAAATTCTGTTCGTGTGATGACAAATAGTTGGTCAAGTCATTAAAAATGCAGTCATTCACCCACACCTTTGGTCTTCACACAATGCCAGTCACCCATCTGACAAACTTAACCAAATGGATTCAGTACTTTTTGGTCATGAAGCCCGGGTCTGTAATAACAGGGTGGAGAGAGATACGAAAGAAAAGAAAATGATAAAAGGGGTTTTGAAAGCAAGTAATACTATTGTCATTAGATTCTTAGGCCTAGCTCTGGATGCTCGGATTAACGCTGCCTTTTCTTTTCTTCAAAAGCAGAGTGGGAAGTCCTCTAAGTACAAGCCCCCACCCCCTTGGCTCCTTGCCTCCCCAGGGGGCCAGCCCTCCCACCGCATCCTGGGTCAGAACTAACTCAGGGAGAGGGCTGAGAATGTGTCAGAAGAGGAGGACATGACCGAGTGGTGAGAATTACAGTCCTCCGAGAGGAGCCCAGGAATAATGCAGCCAAATTCATTCACCAGGGAGTTCTTTAAGTGGCTCT